ATTTACCACAGCCTCATATATCAATCTTTTCTCGATATTTCCAGGTCCCTGTACATGGAATGATAATCCAGAAAAGATCAATACGGATTGCAAATCTACGAGTTTTTCGATATTTGCGATTTTATCGTTATTTTTACCTTATTTTAAGGAGTAAATGCAAAAACAACTCGGTAATCTATTCATACTCATAGTTATGTTAATTGGATGAGATATCATTTGCATACTTTCCTTAATTACGCTTCGTTTTCGTAGGCGTCATTAGCACTGTCTCGCACACTTATTCACTATCCATTTTCCTTAAACATTCGCATATTTCCATTTCTTCTACAAAGAGAGCTCTAAGCTTCTAGTGAATAAGTGGCCAACAATCTTGAGAAACCCAATAGCAGATGCTTCAAAATCAAGTGTAGTTCAAATCAGATTTGCTTCCCATGGATAGCTTTGCAGTCAGATCTATCATGCGTGCAGAAGTAGTGAATATTAAAGATGTGCTTGAATATCTTGCCTCTCATAGATGTGCTGACTGATTTTTTTCTCTTTTTTTGCTCTACCTTCTAGTCTAACTCTTATCTTATGTAGCTTAGTAATCGCTTGAACAACTATTTTTCTCTCATTATTCATCCATCTGTCGCTCAGTTTATTTCTGTTAACATACTAAAAATAAACGCATAATGGGAATGAAATCGATATTTTACTGAAACATAGCATTTCTTAGTATACAAATGTATAGGTATTACTTATGTTTACGCAAAAACTTCAGAATTCTAACAGATAGCTGACCTCTCTCTAGTTCTGTCCTTTGCTCCTAACTCTAAACAGGTCCATAGATTAAAAAATTGGTTATTTTATTAAAGCAAGGAGTTTTTGGCAACCCATACGATATCGGGAGCAGAATTGCTGCTTAACATGAGATATAGCACTTTCGTTGATGTGCTCAGTAGGTCAGAACTGCTTATGCATGATCCTTACCTCATCTTTTATATATGGTTTGGTTTTCGATCGTGGAT